TTATTAATCATGTAGCCTGTAGTCCTTGAAATTGCAAAGTTACAAATACTGAGATTTCCCTTTTTCTCCCCTTATGGTCTTTTTTTCTTACTATATTGTTATACTGGCCTATAACAAAGAAATCTTATGATTTAAAAGACCCCATACTTGCTTGTTCGAAATACACTTTTAAAAACAAAATGAACAGAAAGTAAATCATTTCTTGCATATCCGATATAAGCAAACTAACTTTACAACAAGGGACACTTTTTAATGAACAAGAAGATTCCTTTCTCTTATGGTACACATTTGTATCCATTAGAAATTCTTTTTTTATCGATTGCTGCTCATCTGTGGCACCCAGGAGGGGAGCTTGGTGAAAACCAGAGTTCACCCAAACTTACCCAAAACTGTTACGTACATTCCGCTTCTGGCCCAATTAGTTGTGGCAGGGGCATTCCTCGTCCTGCAGCTACACATCACAAAGTGGCATGGAATGTCCCTGCTGCAACGGATTGTGATGGGCTTGCGCAAACTCCAGTGAACTGGGTCTGCATCTTCCCCCGTACATCACTACTACTGATACATTAGAAAATGATTATAAAACGTCAAATCTTCATTTATTGGCCCATACCTGCCATTCATTAAAAGGAAAATAATGGTTTTCAACAAAAATGGATTACAGCTCAAGTATAAGATAGAGCACCAGAACAAGTAGATTGACAAAAACAAACTAGCTTCATCTGTAGAGTACCAAATTCAGCAACAATCTTGGTAAACAATTATCTGTCGCACCTTAGTCTTTAATGGCAGGGGCAAGAATACCCCTTTTAGGATCACAGTATCGCAGACAGGGAGGGCACCCTAATGAGACCCAACAGCAAGTTGGCTGAGTTATGAAGCACACAAGGTACATGGCTGTGGAAAAATTATTGTTGGCTCACTTTCGGCTAGTACTTACGTCTGTTATACATCTTTCCAACCTGAGCACTCATGTTTTTAGCCACTGCAAGGCACTGTGTGAAAAAGTGTCCACCATATTGCTGGCTGCTCCCTATGGTGAAGTCAGATGGCAATACTCATCAGCACTATACTGACCTCTGTACACTTAAAATATAGTACGAGTGGCAACCAAGTGGGTGAAATATTTACTGAAGTGCTATGATTACTGCAATTTGATCAGGGTTTAAACATAACTCCAGACAATTATTTGTTAGAACCTCTGTCAGATTTTAACTGGCTTAACTAGCATCTGGAGCAATCATGCTAATTACCACTCAGGGTCTCTGCAATTTTATAAGTCTAGTATACACTTTGTTCAACAGTACCAAGCTCTGATAAAGGGGGACTCTTTGAACCCCTGAAACGTACTGGTTTATTTTATTTTTTAATGCTATAAGTCTGAATAAAATTGAATCTAGACTTAATGACACTTGTACACCCAGATTTTAACTGCAGCCTGGGTCCCCTTAGGAGATTTCTTCTCACTCAGTCTTGTCACAGCAAGTAAAGCAATTTCCCCAGAGAGAACAAATACCGCAATGAAAACCTTACAGAGGTTGTAACCTTTCCCCACTTTATCCAAACAAAGGAAAAATGTTGGCTGATGAACAGCATTAAAATGTTTCAGTTTAGGTTTACCTAAATAACTGCCCAGTTGTGCAGCAGCCATTTTAAGGTGCTTGCTGTTACTTTGACCACACTGTCCTCCCATTTTCCTTTAGACAATCTGTTACAAATACAAAAAAAAAAAAGAAACAAAAAGTATATATTGGTACGTGTGCTATCAAATGAGGGGTACGGTAGAATGTGCATAGGCCCGAGCAAGTTGTCACTTTCAGAATATCCAGACTTGCACTGCAATTTCAGGCCATTTTTGTGTCTGAAAACATGTATATGGTAAAAACAAGCATCTTGGGTGCCTCTTAGACAACCTGGCAGCTAGTTAAAAGGCATTGGTACCTTTTGATAGGTTTGGATGGAGTGTGGAAGAATTGGAACCCCTGCCAAGTGTTATCACTCTGTTTGGGGCACCATTAGATTCCCCCTTACTCACTGTCCCCATGACAACCTTTTTACCTGACAGGAAGTGAAATCAGACAGAAGTATTTTTTTCTTTTTTTAGTTAAAGCTGATCTCGGGGAAAATTCAAAAAACTACCCTTGCAGTGGGGCTCCCCTGGCGCTGCAAGGGTCAAATGTTTGTTTTGTTTAGGGTACCTTTAAATGTAGTTTTATTTACCTTATTCTTTGGCCGTTGGCTTACTCTTCTCCATGTGACTGGTCCTCCTTTTCTCTTCACTTTATCTATTGGTCACACACTGACATCGTCAAGTATACAGGACTAGTAGACCTGCATTGTAAGCAAGGATGCCGAGGGCCCACCCACAACCTGGAGTATTGGCCAAAAGATAAGCGTGCATGCTGCCGGAGAAGCAAGGAATAAAGTAAAATTGCTTTTTTAAATGGTACCCTAAAAAAAAAAAAATCAAGCATTTAACATTCCCCTACTTAAATATGAACTCCAGGTAAAATGACCCTTGCAGTGGGGCATCCCCTCACTGCAAGGGTCATTTTACCTGGAGTTCATATTTAAGTAGCGGAATGTTCAAACCCCTGTCAGCTTCTCAATTATTATCTGTCTCTCTGTTACAGATTTTCCCCCACTTCCTGTCTTTCTGCAGGGAAATCCAACTAACTGATCCCCATAAAGTATTAAAACCTGACAGGGGGTTTTCAACCTTCCACATAAACATTCAATTTGGGCATAAGAACATTGTGGAATGCTTAAGAGCACAAAACCTTCAAATTACATTCCCTCAAATACCTACATGGTAGTATGTGGAGAACTTTACAACATTTTTAAAAAGTCAACACATAAAAAGACATAAAACAATATAAAAAGGATAACAAATACAACATTACATAGATTAGAACACAAACAAAAACTGCAGGTAAAATTTTGGTTTACAGATTATTTTTGTGACAGAACAGTCTTTTGTCTTCCTCGGGGGCATTACTTTTACAGAGTTTTTCAACTCAGTACATGTTGCACCAAAGACAACAAAGGGTTTTACCCGAGTCCTGAAGTCCTTGGCCACTTCCCTTCTTCTAAGCGACGTGCTCGCAAAAGTGCTCCCTTTGCTGTTGGGTCCTTAAATGATTTGTGCTCTATGGCCACTGCTATAGTCCTTCGGAAATGAGTTTAGCAGTAAAGTCTCAGTCTTTCATTCTCGGTATATTATATGCATAACGAACCAAGGGAAATCCACGGCTCTGGTAGAAGCAGGCGCGACCACAGGCCTGGACCTGATCAGAACTGTCTGACACAAACGAATCTTCCTCGTCTGCACAATCTGAGTGGGCCGACTGAGTACCAAAGTCCGACCAGTAGTTTTCCGATCGGTGGCAAGGCACAACTGCTAACGTAGGACAGCTGTGAGACTTTATCAAGTGTTTGCAAGGCAGTGGATTCTTTAATAGAACAGTCTCACAGTAATCACACACTGCAAAGTTACCTTGTAGGTGGGAATACATTCCAAAGTCATAATAAAAATCTTGAGTTACGCACCCTCTCTGTGCATTGGTCGCAACTGCAACAGAACCACTTCTCTTTGTCAAGTGCCATTTTAAAAGTTTCCAGTCTTCTTTGAATTTGGGGTTGAAAAACACATACAGTACTGGATTGAGGCAAGCTGGCAAAGGGAAAAATATCAAAGTCACAGATTTCATGATTTCTGGAGTAATGGAAATTGCCGTGATCAGTGGGGCAAAAGAAAAGAAAGCGACGGGACAAAAGAAGATGCAGTTTGTGAAGATCAGCCAGGCCACATGTTTGATCATACTAGACTCGGCACTTTCTGAGAGGTCTTCCTTGTCCAATGTGCAGTACAGTTTAGTGTAGGTGATGACCATGACCAAAAAAGCCAGCGAGTTAAGAAGCACCAGGGTAACTGTAAAGCCCAACGAGGGAGTTTCTCCCGTCGGGAAAGGCAAGCAGAGAGGAGAGGAAGAAAACTCTCCAACATGAAATAATGGCAAGCAACCAGCTGCTATGGCAAGAAACAGAGCAAGAATTGATGCAATCTGAAATTTCTTTAAATGCTGGCTCTTTTCCTTCTTAATTATATCCTTTGCAGACAAACTTCGCTCGATGGCTGCCAAGGTCAAGAAAAAAATGGCACTCTCTGAAGAGAAAATTGCTAGGAACCCAGCAACTTTGCATCCACTGCCAGTTTCCCACCAGATGCCAAACTCTGCAAAATGTCCCCAAGAGACGGTGTCCAGTACTGTCAAAATGCCAGTATAAATGCCCATGAAGAGATTAGAGACAGAGATGAGACCGATGAAGAGCTTAGAGGATGTCAGCGGCGAGCAGGAAGAAAACATGGTCACAATGACAATGATGTTGAAGATCAGGGCTAAAAGGAAGATGAACCACACAGTGAGCCGGATCATCCAGCTTCCAAGCAGGTACTCACAAGGTTTGAAAGCACCTGAAAAAAAAAGTCGATATAGTAAATACACAATAAATAAACATAAACATCATCCACATACCAGGCAAAGACTGGTAATACATAGTTTTATCCAATTCATTGAACTTTTTTTTAATATATCTATCAATGTTTGCACTGACTGCTAGAAACCTGAACAGGAGGAACGATTTTTCACAACTCAGCTCATTACTGAAAATTGATCTCTTTCATAACTTTAGCTTAGCTCTCCAAGAACAGCAGGAGAAATGCAATGGCTAAGAGTTTATATGTGGAAACTTGCTTGAATGGCCTGGACAATGGAGTCAAGGCACAAAGTTTTAAAATTGCAGTAGATTCCCTTAAACCGAAAACCACAAAAAATAAACAGGCTGCAAATTGAAAAGGACTTTCCTGGTGACTTAAATCATGTACTCACACAAAGAGTCATTGGTCATTGCCAGTCTATGCCATGACTATGGCTAGTTTGCCAAACATTTCATATAGCTTTCTGTCCCCAAGAGGCCTGGAATCCTGCGTGCTCAATTATGCAAATTCTGACTTCAGTTTCCAGAGTCAAGATCTGGTCCACCCCCTTCCTAAATCTTACAACTCAATGCAAGCTGTAATTACAGTGATGAATCAACAGTGAAGCACTGGAGGCAATGGGCCAGAGATCATGTCAGCATTTTTACATTTTAATCCAAAGCTATGTTTGCAAAGAATGGAGTTAATGCTTGCCCCTTTGGCTGCCAAAACCCATTGTTTCCAAAAGCTACAATGGCTGAAACATCTTTGACATCCAGAACACTTTCAGGTGCCTGGTCCCCCACTGTGTCTTGTGATGTAGTGGCCAAAGCAAACAAAGCAGACAGCGGGGATCTGACACCCCTGTGCCAGCTTAACTCCATGAGGCAGCATGTATTGGTGGCGCGAGGGGTATTAACCCTATTCATTGCGGGCAGGGCTTTGGGTTCAGATGTAAAAATAATGGCAGAGTCATTTAAGAGCCTGTAATCAGATATTTTATGCATGTACAAGTATTTGTGTAAAGTTTATGACGCAGGTTACTCTATTCATGAATCAAAAGCAAGAGCAGAAGATACTTTTCTATGATGTTATTAGAGGCCTATTTATAAAATAATTTTTATTTTGCCATATTTTCCACAAAGCTATATTTCCAACAGCTTAATCACCAACCACTCAGGACAATTTGCTAATTATGATATTTTTTTTAAAGATAACATTTTCCACCAAAAATTATTTTGCAAAAAACAAAATGGCAATTTACAAAAACTTTGTTTTTTCTAAATGCAGTGTAACACAAAGCAGTTTTTTCATCTGATATCAATATGTATGTCACGATCATGCCAACACTTTTCTCCCCATTACCATCAGATAATCTCTTCTGGAAAGGCAATGTGCAAGAAAAGGATTATAAAAACACACAAAATAAATTACCTGTGGATGGATTGCAGTGGACTGCAGCTTGGACGTGATCCTTATCATCCTCTGTGATCATATAATCTTCAAGGGCTCCTGTGACATCAGAAGCAACATGTAATTAACCTGCAGTTATCCTAAAGTGTGCCTGTTACTGTTTTTTCCCCCAAATATATGAAGATACAAATCTGTTGAATATAGGATCACAATGGATCTGCTATGAATGGGGTCTCAACCTTCCATGACCAGCTTAAATTTGACTGATGGCTGCGAGTACGGATTGTATTTCTTTAATAAATCAGTCTCTCTGTATATTAAAGACAACAAGGAGCCTACAGCTGGGTGTGTTTGGCTTTAGCTTTCCTGCAACCTAAGCAGGGGTACTCGGATCATCATATTACTAGGGAATGGAGCACTACAGCATATCATGGATAAGAAAGTGAAGCGCTGGCCAGGTAAACTGTGCTTACTGTAGTTTACCTTACCTCAAAGTTTTAAAGGCATTTACTCTACAATTTCTGAGGAACAGCATAAAACATATACAGTATATTAAAAGTGGGGAGATAACATTTTTAATATACCGGTAAGGTCATTATGCCTTTCCTTCCATTTTAGATTTACATTTTGCTTAGCAAACTAAACTCAGAAGGTTCTCTAACCAACACTCCCAAAAGGTTCGAATGTGAAGTAGAATTGCTACCTTGACATCTTTGCTTAACAGAGTCAATTACTGCAGAAGGCAGGGCTTCTATAAGTACAAATCCCCTGCCTGTGTTAATATAAGCAGTGTAATGGGTGGTGACAGATTGTCTTTAATAAAAGGTAGCTCTACTGCACTCATTTTGTGGAAATTACTTCATTAAGTGTATGTGAGCCAAAACATGTTTTATTTTACGTTCAAATTGTATGATTTCCCCTCTTATTTTGTTCCAATGACAATTTGAAATTTTGGGCAATGGTCACCAGGACACATACTGTATAGAGGGACTATCCTCCTTGCAGAGACAGAGACAGCAATGAAGAACATGATAGGGGTTTTAAGGCCATACTCTTAAAGATATCCCTTTACTGGCAAATTCCACTTTTCCATACATTTTTTTTTAAGCTCCGAGAACACTCACTTTGCTAAATGAAAAGTCTTTACTACTTTAATAGAACCCCTATATTTTCAGTTGGTTCCTTGCATGCAGGGGCCTTTATTCACAAAAGGCAAAAACCTTTCTGCCCAAGATGCACCCACCCATATGGACTAATCAAAATTCTTCTTTCATCAGTCCGACTATTGCTAAAAAGATTAACCTGATTAGTTGGTACTTTGACATTAAATTGGCAGCCTTAGTTTACTCTCCCAGACCCAGTCTGCTCTTTAGTATTTTCTTCTGTCTTACCCAGTCTTTCCCTGTAAGTTACATACCTTTCTCATGGTCCTGCAGCAATTTCTGATATTTTGACCCGTCGTCTTCGACAGTCGAGGTCAAGTAAGAGTCACATGCAGAAAATGCACAGCACTGGTAAGCGTATGGGACAGACACCGACCTTAAAAATAGACAGGAATCCAACATCAAGTACAAGAAGTATATGCCTTCAATGATACATTTCACAGATGTTGCAAGACCAAAACAAGAAAAAATGCACGGACATCAGAGAAAAAAAAAAGGAAAAGTGATGGTCATACAGACACTAGGCTCAGTTCACAAGGGTGGCGGACTTTACCACCCCTCGGATAAGCAATTCACCAAGAAGAATTGTTTGCTGGTGATACTACCATCTCCTGAATGGTGGAGGTTTTTCTGTCCCACTGTGCTGCAACAGCATTGCGGTACAGTCCATTGACTTTAATAGTTGTGTTTGGCAAGTGGTTCCACCTTCCAAACATGACATGCTAAGTTAAAATTGCCTAAACAAGGGCCCTTATGATACATACAGTCACAGAAATGTAGAAACATTTAAAACAAAAAGAAAACAAATTAGTAGCTCTGTGTGATGTCAGTCTTCCCCAACATGGCAAAGACAAAGTATGGCTCACATTGGCCAATGACCTTAATGAAGGGCAGGCACGGACAACAAATTGTGTCTGGTTAAGGTATAGAAATATTTTTGTTTGGACTAGAGGTCTTTCATTTTTACCTAGAGAACTGAGCATTGGCAAGAACTTACTGAAGTTTTAGGAAGTCTTTTGCCGACAGTGATTCTTTGAAGGTAGGATTGCCCGTAAGCCTTAGCTGAGCCAGGCCATGAAGTCCTCCAGTAGGAAATGTTGTCAGTTCATTAAAACTGAGGTCTCTGAAAATGCAAACACAATGTTAGCAGAGTGGCAAATACCGCAACCCTCTGCCCCTCTCCCCCTCTCCCCCACAAAATATTGAACCTTACGTGTAAGTGGATAAGAAAAAGTCCAATTAACGGTAAAAAGTCCATTTAAAAAAGGTGGACACCTTCCTGAGAGACCATCAAGCTTAACACAAAAGGGTCTCCTACACCTAAATCACTCCTTTTCCTGAGACTAAGAACTGTAAAATCAGACTGCCATTCAGCACTACTACAGGTAAAGACCGGTGTTACAGTCAACCAGTGGGATACAATGACATCATCATATAAGAGAACTTAGCCTTCTGAAGCAACAGCGAGACCATGGTGACACGTTTGCTAGACATACCCTTTCCTGAAGCATGTATCCACTTACCATTGAAAGTGGAATCCTTCTAAACATGCTAGCAGCATTCTGACGTGAGGTCTGCGTATCCCTATTTTGTAACCATGGTTTATAATACTGTATTACAGCATTCACTTCTGGCCATGCATCTGACAATTCCTATATCGCCACAAAAATCTTAAGCCGACTAAAATGCACTTTCAAAGCACATTTGTTGTTTTAATGTTACATTACGTTGTTCCTGTTTCCACCCTGGGGGTCTCTGATCTTATTAAACCCTGTAGAACGTAAATCCTCTTAGACAATGAAAAGCAGCTTGGTAATGTTAAAGCGCCACTAAACCTTCAAGTTAAAAACAAGTTTCTAATCCAGCATCATAAATAAAGAAAAACCTCTGTCTTTAAATCTGCATATGATGTAGGTTTACCCATTATCCAGAATAATGATTCTCCCCTCAGCGAATTAACTTTACCCCAAACCCCCAGTTTTGCAGCATAAGCAGTGCACTCTGTATTGCAGACATGAATACTGCTCCAAAGCACATGTGTGCCCATTGCCATCTTTTTTGTTGGTCATGCTGTACCTCAAGAAGTCATAGGGCAGTGCAGTAATGAATTGGAGATAACCAGTGCTGTCACCTGCCAGGGATACATGCGCCCAAATGCATAAATGAAGACTATCTCAGGGGGACTCTAGGAGGGTAGGTACATCCCACATACAGTGGAACCATGTCAGAGTAGCCACTCTCATAAAGAAAGTGTGATCAGAAGAGTTTATACATTTATATTTCTGCATGTACTATCCAATGTTGCTATTCCAATGTACACAGATAAAAACAGATGAAGGTATGCAATATATTTGTTTTTTAGGGGCTCGGTGGCAATTTAAGAAAAGGAGGAAGAGAACACACTTACAGTTTAGAGATAGAAGTCAAGGTGGTGAAAGCGTCACTATGAATCCAACGGATCGAATTCCTGCTGAGGTCTCTGCAACAGTTACAACAAACATACATTGGTAACCCTATAAAAATTGTATGATAGATTCTGTTGCTGCCCCATCCAGGAGGCCCTTAAAGTGACATTAAACTGAGTAAAAACTTGGAGAACTATGGGGTCAGTGTTTTTCCCCATAGTTCTCCTTAGGGTAACGGGAGGACACAAACCAGCGTCCTCCTGTTACCCTAAGCTCAGTATACCGCGAGCTACAGCTCGTGGAATACTGAGACGCCGCAGCCGGAGCGGATCCCGACTTATACGACGGGATCCGCCCAGCTGCGTGAGTGACAGCTGGCTCTGCCTATCTAGAGGCAGAGACAGCTGTACCCGCCCCCTCCCCGTCCGTTCCGCCAGTCAGCGCTGGCAGATCGGAGCGGGGAGAGGGGAATGCAGCCCCTCCCGTCACGGCAGAAAGCTGTGACAGGATCGAGAGGTGAGCGAACCCGGTATGTGTTCGCTCACCTCCCGATCTACCGACCTGTGACAGTCTCATTGTCACAGGTCGGCTAGAACTATGAGGTGAGTGAAAAGCACTCACCTTATAGTTCTCCTTTAATAGTTTAGGTACATGAATAACAAAAATGTAGCTCATTTGTGTATTACTCGCTGTAGATCCTCCATGGTCCTTGTGCTTTGTAAAGTAGCCAACACTCCAAGCTTGCTCGCGTGATGGACTACAATCTCCCATTTAGTTAACTAATTTGTACTGAGATTGTAACCCATCACCATTGCTTGGACCGGCGGCTACTTTCAAAGATACACAGGGACCATGGGGAACAAAAGTAGCCTCCCTCCAGAACGAAGGGCATTAGCAGCACCAATTCAGAGATGATTTGAGGATCTACAGCCGAGTGATACACAAATAAGATACATTTCAGTTTATAGGGTAGTTAAATGCATGTTTGAGTATTAAACCCCTGAGTTTAGTGTCACTTTAAACAGACACTGTCACTTTGGCCTTTCAGGGAAAAGTCAATGTGTCTGCAGAAAGCCGATACCTAGTATCTCTGTGTATGGTGACCTTCTACCTTTATTTAGAGAATGCAGTGCTTGGACCTGACTGGCCAGTCCCCAGACCTGAACACTGTTAGAAAGGAAGAATGTCATTAACCCTATGTAAAGTTCGAGAAAGGCAAACATGAAGCCTATACAGGGATCAAGGTGGCCACACACTGGTCCAATTTCAGCAGAGTCCTGTAGAACTTTTACTAGTATGTTGGCCCGTTTCCCCCCTGATTTTCGTGGAAGGAGCTGGTCTGAAAATTCCCGGCCAAACAGTGACTGAAGCCAACAAGGTATTCAGAATTCAATAGACAAAGCGGGAGAATTGCCACAGGGCTAAAAAAGAAGAAAAAAAACTCAAATGTATGGCCAGCACTACAGATTATGCACACGGGCACAAATACAGGCCTATAGGCATACAGAGTAAAATAAGCCTGCATTTGCAGCATCTTGGAGACCCATCTGCCACGTTTTTATGTTCATAGGATTGTACAGAAAGAAAATGCTTTACCCGGGTTTACGCATGTAAACAATGACGGTGCATTTACACAAGCATGGGCGTAAGTTCCCGATTGCGAACCTACGTGTACAGGATTTTCTGTCTATACAATCTTATGGACAGGAGATTGGGCTCCCAGGTGACGGAAATATGCCTGTGCCCATGTGCATGAGACCTTGGCAGTGGAGCATCGGAAAGTTGCCCAATCACGAGAGGTCATCACTTTGCCCTAAATGACAGATTCCAAGGCCATTACAATGACAGAATATGAGTTCATTTTCAGTGGTGCAGCAATAGCCTTGGTGGATTGTTTAGCTAAAATGGTGCATCTAATATGTTGGCCACAGATTTGCGGTCCAATATGTCATCTTATCTTCTCCCACTACCTCTTCTGCTAGAAAATAGGGCTGCCTGAGAAGCACATCAAACAGAGCCAGGCAACAAACACTTGTAAGTAATAGATGAGAATAATTTGATCAGAGTTCATACTTACAGCACACGTAGCGATGTCAAGCCTTGTAAAGACTCGTTTTGAACTTCAGTAATTTGATTGTGTTGCAGGTAACTAGAAGGAGAACAAACGAGTTAATCTCCAAATTCTAACCGGCTGTTTGAGACAATAAAAATAATTATAGACCAAACAACTGCCATCAAGGTTTTATGACCATAACCGAATAAAAGTTTACTTAGTACACAGACACCTTTTAAAAGCTTTCATGAGGACACACCAGTATATACAGGCATACAATCAGTATACACAAAAGATTATACAAAATCAAACACATAATGGAAGACAGAATAAAAAGGTTTAATCCACTTGTCAATGTACATTGGTTTTATTGGGGAACAAGGGGCGGAACCTACTTTAAACGTATATCTAAACGTTGTGTGTGTTAGAATCATTTTAAAAGTTCCTGCTGGGGAAATTCACCCTTCTATTTACACTGGTGACCATTGTTATTAGGGCAGAAAGTAATGGGAAAACTTTGGAGGATTTCCTCTTACTTCCTACTGTCTTGTCTCAGGTACAGAAAATTAAGGAAAATCTTCCAAATATTAGACTATAAAATACTGAATAAAAAAAAGTTTTCGGTTTGCATACAATTTAAGCAGCAATTCCGTTTCTTTAATCCTCCATTGATAATAACTGCACTAATAATTACATTCTCTGTCACACAAAAAATAGAACATATGGTTCAGGAGAAAGATCAGGCCCTTGAAGACCACATGATGGGTAGGTTATCACACTACAACAAAAGTTATTGAAATGCAAAATTCTGATCATACATTGGCCAATAGTTAAAAGGAAGATTATAGGACAGTGAAATGCACTCGTTAAACGTCGGCTCTATAGCTCGAGAACTGAGCAATCACATACCGTCGATCCCTCAGTTCCCGATATTCTCCCTGCAGAGAGCGGTGACCGAGTCACCGCTCCCTGCAAGGATTCCCCTCTCCGTTCCTCCAGGGCTGACTGGAGGGACAGATGAGGGAGGGGGCGGGCACAGCTGGCTAGAGAGGCAGAGCCAACTGTCAATCAGGTTGCGGGGTGGATCCCGACAATGTTGTCGGGATCTTTCCCAGCCGTAGTGTATATAGTATAGCTGGAAATAGCCCGCTATATGCTGAGTTTTGGGTCACAGGAGGACGTAGCAAATGTCCTCCTGTGACCCTAAAAGGATGTATGGCCTAAAAAGGTTGGGCCATAGTTCTCTTTTAAGTGTGGTTTGGGCACATTGACCTAATGCTGACTCAGAAATCATAGCTTTTTTTTGTTCATTTCTGGAGTTCCTACCCAAGTCTACCTCAGAAGAAGTGATAAGCAATATTATGGAAATTGTGAAAAGGGTCCAAAAAACAAACAGAAAAGGGACAAAACAATAATAAAGTTGCCTCTATGAAAACCAAGGTGATGTGAGTGACACTTTTGTCGTCGGCTGGCCATACCCAGCTCAAATTTCTGAATTAGTAAACATTTGAGCCATGGGTAGCCCTATCAGCACCACCTGGGCCAATTTAAACATTGACGGCTAGGTGAAGAATCAATCAGCCGAACGTACAGTAACTGGATCCTACCAGATGCGGTCACTGTTCAGGTATTCAGAGAGCTGCAAGGTGCAGTGGCTGTCTAAATACAATGCAAATTCCTCCATCCATGCTGTTTAACTCGGATGGCGGCATATATTGCTGAATGAGCGAAATCTATGTGTGTATGGCTAGCCTTACTCGATCTCCCTGTGCATGGTTGCTTTAACCATTAAATTGACCATATGATCAGAGTTGTTGCTTACATTTCCTCCAATGAACTGCAACCCTTCAACCCATTCAGATCTGCTATTTCACTATAGGAAAGATCTCTGTAAGACACAAATGGGGGAAACACATTAAGCCATTTGAAATGAATCTGCAGTCTTAAAGATCACAATAACCACTCAAATGTAACCATTCAGGATAGGAATAGAATTGGCATAGAAATACAAGAGACATTATTGCGGACTTTGACACTGAAATTGCTGGCTTGGTAACTGACCTGAACAAGTATGCAGCATGTGAAGTCAGAACTCCTGACCCCTAAATCATTGAAGCTACTGGATAAGCAAGACAGTCAGGTAACAAGCAATTTCAGAAGTAAAGTTCAGCATTAGCAGCCTTTCATAACAGGTTTCCTTTAAAAACCTTGTTTTAGCTTACAGTTCTGATACTGGATCCCTTATACATTCTTTCAGTTTAGTAGCGCTGCACAATGATTATGCATGTCTCATTATCTCAGCACCAGTTGGCACTGCTGAGGTCCATAGAATCACTATACAGTACAATCTCTTTTTTTTTTACAATCTTTTATTTTAATACACTTAACGCTCAATATTTAATCTGTATGATCCTGCAAACACAGCATAGCAAGTAAAGAGAAAATGTTAAAGCGAACATCAAAAAGGATATCCAGGTTAATGTTTCAGACTGTTTACACACTTAAAACACACAATGGTAACTCTATCATCACTGGTTTCCGTGGTATTTTTATAATATTTTGTTTTTAACATTGACCCAAAATATGTCTTACACAAAGTTGGAGCAACATGGTACATATAAGCAAATAAAAGAGGTATCAACTTACAGAGATCGAAGCATCTTCTGTTCCTGGCACAGGTTCAGTGGAATGCTTCTGATCTTTGTGCCTGTTAACGTCCTGTAAAACACAAGAAAGGTATGCTGAAACTTGATCTACATCTATAGGTTGCTATGTCAAATATTTAAAAAAAACAAAAATGTTTTTACACATCAAAAGTTTCTGCATTCACTGACAGGTTCCCATAGTTTGCCCACCACCAATGACTCTGACCCAAAAGAGAGTAATCTATAAAAAATAATTGCATGTGAGTAATGTAGAATGGCACTTGCGTTATTCTTCACACACCCAGATGGCTGTATTAGACGCAGGTAGAAAAGGTAGAGCAGAGCTATATGAAAGAGTGGCACCCTTTAAAGACAAACGGGCTCAACCAGGTCTTCCAGCTTATATCATGATGCTTTTTAAGCAATATAAAGTGTTGAAGGACCACAGTGTAAATTCTATGCTGCTCAATTCAAAAAGAACTCTGGGCAAAATGATTAAACCTTGCAGTGGGGCTACCCCCCACACTGCAAGGGTTAACTGCTCGTTTTGGTCTAGGGAGGAAAGTAAAAAGTTATATATGATCCTCAGAGTCTGCCAGCTGTGACAGTGCTCCCTCTTGCCTGTCTCCTCCTCACGTCCTATACACAGTGTATAGAACGCGACAACCCAAGGACCTTAGACCACTGCAGTGGAGGGGGAGAGACGCTCCATGGACCGGTCCAAGAGCAAGCCGGCTTGAAAGATTAGGAGAGTATAACTTTTTATTTTCTTCCCTAGACCAAAACAAGCAGGGGTTAATAAAAAGTTTCAGTTCTTCTTTAACGATTTACTGTTGCTACCAGAAGTCTTTATAGCCCAACAGTTTTCAAATTGCCCAAAGCTCGCTCAGCAGAGTGGCCATTCAGAGAACACCTTGTGTTCATTTATGAAAGTACTGCCGGGTAGATGCAGTTTGCACGGCACTATTGCCCCTAGAAGCTGCCGGGTATAGGAATTTCCTATACTTCTCAGGATCATCTAGGAGTCAAAGTGCAGTGCGAATGGCATCCACCCGTTGGAACTTTTATAAATGAACTCCAAGGTGTTCTCTGAATGACCTCTGTGCCGAGCACCCTGTGTTCTCACAGCAGATGGGAATCCATTCAGCACAGCACCATAAAGGACTAAAAGATTGTGGCCAGCATTGTAGTAGCTCTGGATAATAAAGTGCTTTACAGGATCCCAATGGGCCGATCAGGTATGATTAATGCATACTTACATTGGACTTAGCTTGATCAGTGGCAGTATGCATAATAATTTATACCTGGAGTTTAGCTATAATATACCTAAAGCCAAAATATTGTTTATTTGGATAGAGTGGGGGAGAGTTAAAACCATTCAGTTTTTTTTTCTCTTTTTAGGGATAGTTCCCTTCATTTCCTGTTCAGTAGTCAACAGGGTAACTTTCCAATGTGAGTGAAATCCCCTTTTGGACTGGTGTCTCAATAAATAATGTTCCCATTTAAATATTTTACCTCTGTTCCTGTTCAGGTAGCAACTAAAAATGTTAGATTTGCCCTCAATTTCATTTACAAATCCACTTGTGATCAGGAGGACAATTAGAGAGAGTGAATCCCTAAAAAAGGATCTTTATTGGGATCAAACATGGGTAAAGGTGTATGTATTGTAGGGATGTACTGCATATATATATATATATA